GGCGGGGGGGCGGCGATGGGTTCCATGAAGAGAGATGGGAGAAAACACAAGGACGCTGCCGGGCAGAGGACAGAAGAACCTAGGGACTTTGAGGGCAAAGGTGGCGGTGATGGGCTCTGCACAAGAGAGATGAGAGAAAACGCAATGACACCGGGCAGAGGAGAGAAGAACCTAGGGACTTCAAGAACAATGGCGGCGGTGGCGGTAATGGCGGGTGATGGTTGCGAGGCTTGGAGGCCCACGCCTTTTATCCCAGTACTCAGGACGCTGAGAAAGGACTATCACCATGAGTTTGAGGCCAACCTGGGCTACAGTTAGTGAGTTCTAGGCCAGTATGAACTGCACAGCGAGACCTTGTCTCAAACCAGAATAACAACAAAAGGTCTCGCGTCAGGCAGAAACCCACGGTCCCCAGCGCCCTGCCGCCTCTCACCGCCAACCCGACACCCTTCCCCCTCAACACTCACCAAACTTAAAGCAGTTGAACAGCAGCACCCCCCAAACGAACAGGATGCTTATCAGAAAGAACCGGAAAACCCACATCTTGAGCACGGAGTGAAGCCTGGCCGCAAGTTCGCGTAGCGCGGTTGACCTTCTTTCCTGGTGACGCCTGCCTGCCATGGTAGCCTGGGCAACAGACGGCCGATTCGCCACAACTTCCTTTGGTTCAGAATGTTTCTGCTTTTGGTATGTCACCTTCACTCCCTGTTTTTTCAGCCTACGTGCCCGGCCTCTTCCTTTACTGGACGGCATGGCCCCAGACTGCAACGTGGCCCCGCCGCTACCTCCCTGACTAAAGGGAGTCGAAGTTGCCGATGCCGCGCATGCGCACAGGAAGCTCTCGCGAGACACGCGGTCAGCCCCTTCCCCACAGCCATTTTTGCCGCAGGCCAGCCTCTTTGACGCTTTGGTGTAGCATGCACTCCTACCTTCCTAGTGCTCATTCGTCCCACAGGAAGTATAGCTGCCCCAGTTGCTAGGCGCCACAGTGCTCACTATAGTGGCCACTAGCCAAATGTGGCTATTTACATGTGAATTTTACTTGCTTAAAATTAAATGAAATTAAGAAATCAGTTCCTCAGTCACAGTAGTGGTATTATGATGTACTCAATAGCCCCCTGGCTTTTGGCTGCTATCGGGCAGTACCAGTATGGAGCATTTCTGTACTGGAAGAAAGCTGTCTCTGGCAGTGCTAGATGGGAAGAGCGACCATAGTGTATTTGATATACTGTAGTTGAATCTTTTAAGTGGTACAAAAAAGGTATTTGCCTTCAGAAATCTGAAAATTGAGTTACAAATAAACGATAGGCTGACATGAGAGCAAATGCGTATGAGAAACACTACAGAATGATTCAGAAAACTTAGATTTTATCATCATACTTGCCACTGATGAATTGGGTGGCCTAAGTATCTTCCTCTCAATAGTCCTGAGTGTGTCATGCATAAAATGTCGGGAATTGCACAATTTTTCTGAGCCTCCTCCTGGCCCTAGACTCAAACCCTTAGGCAAAATCCTTTGAAATCCCTTACTTTGGACACACCTGCAAAATGAGCACATTTAGGTTTAGAAGGGCTGTGAATACTACTCCCTTCAAATGTATTTCCATCCTCATCCTTGTTATATCATACTTTCTACCAGTTTTATTCTATCCTTCCCTATTAGTAGACATTCTATAGAAAGAGAAAGGGGTAAGGTTTTCTGTTCAAATAATAACTGAAGGTTGGTGCACTCTATCTACCCTCCCCCAATGCTCAGGAGCAATTCCTAACACTCACTTATTATGGTATCTAATAGAAAAACAACCTGTTTTCTTTCCTTTTATCCTTCCTTTGTTCTTTATTTTTGCCACAGCCTCCTCAAAACTAAATCGATCAGATCACCATTGTCCTGCAAAATTCTTAACAGTTTCTGAACTACTGTGTGAAACTGTGCAGTGCCTGATACTTTACTCCACCTTCAAGTTTCAAAGCAGCCAATTGCAGTTTCATCGATGTTGGCAGAGGATGCAAGACCACTGGGTCAGGAACAAAGCACAGAAGCTTCTAAAATAATCAAAAACTATTCAGATCCCTAGAGAACTGTTTCCCAGCAGCAACTCTGTTGAATTCCAAATGCTACCAGTGAATCATAGCACTTACCTGTAATCCCAGCAGTCTGGAAGGCTGAGACAGGAAGATTGCAAGTTCCCAAGTTTAAACCCAACCTGAGCAATTTAGCAAATTAGTGAGACTCTGTCTTACTTACTCTCTCATCGCTGAACACCCACAATTAAAAGAAGAGGAGGTTTATTTTTGTTCACAATTTGTAGAGGTTGAAGTCCACAGTCTGCTGGTTCCAAAACAGAGCAGCATGACAGAGGAGAAATAGCTAATGGCATGGCAGGGGACGCAGGGAGAGATCAAGGGAAGAGGGAGGGATTTAAACCCTCTTAGGCCATGCCCCCAGTGACACACCTCCAACAACCAGGCTTCACCTCCCAGATCACATTTAGCTATAAACTCATCAGTGGACTCATCCACACAAGAGTATCATGCTCCAAGATTCAATCACCCCCAAAAGCTCCACTTATGAGTGTATAATGCTTAGGAGAGACGTCTAGATATAAGCAATACCACCATCCATATTTGCATCAGTTTCTAACCTCTGAACTGTGTAAATCCCAAGCCACTTTCCTTGAGCTGAAAGTGTTACCTGACTTGTAAATCTATTCTACATCTGAAAAAAATGGTCTTTCATGTAAACCTCCTTTATGATTTCTTGGTTTAGAGTATAGTATAGGAAAGAAGATTTTACTCCCTACTCTCCTAGTTTCAATGATTGTGCCCTGAGAATCAAACTAAAAGAGATTAACAAAAGGACAGATTTTTTATTAGTGCATGTTTTCAGTATATAATGTTAAGTTTTAATTCCAAACATATGCATGAAAGTTCACTAAGAAAAAAAAAGTGGATCTCAAGCAGACATTCAGATGATTGAATTTTATACACCAGCTTAGGTTGTAGAAAAGAAAGGTGGGTAGAATAGTTGTTTAGTTGGTGTAAATGATGGCTCATACATAAATTAATATTTTACACATGAACTATTTTACTGAATTTGAAAATCTTTAAAATAAAAATTGTAATATTACTATTTATTCCTAAAACAGACTACAGTATGGATGTAAGTTAGTTGTCCCTTTTCACTAAAAAGTTATTAATGTAATATAAGTGTATTAGTCAGCTTTATCATTGCTAGGACACAATGCCTGACACCCACATTTTAAAGGACCAGAGGTTTTCTTGGTTCACAGTTTCAGCAGATTCAGACCAGGGTCAGCTGACTCCAACAAAGGAGCATCATAGACAAAGGGCATAGAGGAGCAGATACTCAGTTCATTGTGGCCAGGAAGCAGAGCAGGGGAACAGTGCCAGAGAGGAAGGGCCAGGGCCCATGTATAGCACCCAAGGTCACACCTTCATGACCCACTGAGACACACCCAGAAGTGTGCTCCACCAATACTCCAGGTGGATCCCAAAGCCAATAAATCTGACACAATTAAGTTCAAGTATCATGTTCTAAGGACTTTAATATTCCAAGTAGGGCTGGGGATTTATGCTGCCTTCCTTGCAAGCACAAGGACCCGAATTCGATCCCCACCAGTACCAAAAAAAAGCAAATGATCTTGGGCCAGGTGTTTGGCTTGGTGGCTCTGCTGCCTGCCTTGCAAGTGCAAGGGCCTGAGTTCAATCCCTGGTACAAAAAAAAATTCCAGGTAGCCCTGAGATTAAGTGTTAGCATCACCAGTTTTACAAGGAAGCTGTGTATCAGAGAAGCAGCGTGACTTTCACAAGGGTACAGTATTTAAACTGGAATCTGAATGATGTCAACTGACTAGCAGTCAATGCTCCTCCCAACATACACAAGCAATCTGTCCCATCTGTCAATCACTATAATTATCAGTGCTATACTACAGTATTCATGCCCTCCCAGAACTTTTGCAGCTTGTGTTACTTTCTGTCACTTTTTCAAAATACCTGAGAAAATCCACTTAAGGGAAAAAAAATTAACTTACTTAGCTCATGGTTTCAGAGGTTTCAGTTCATGGTAATTTGGCTCCATTGGTTTAGGCCTGTGGAAAGGCAGAAACATTATAGTGGAAAAGCATGGTGGAGGAAAGTTGCTCACCTCATGGCAACCAAGAAGCAGAGAAAACGAGGAAGGGACTGAGGATAAGATAGACATTTCCAGGCTATGCCTCCAATGACCTACCTCCTCCAACTTGGCCTCATCTCCTAATGCCTATTCATATTTGAGCCTTCATGATCTAGTACCCTTCTAAAAACTCACCTCTAAACATATAAGCCTTTTGGAGGACATTTTTGGTCCAAATAATAATGAACTATAATTCCCTTGACCTGTTAGATGTAAGAATTTCAGTCTTGGTAAAGTCTTGTTCACACTTTGTAACCCAACCCAAATCTATAAGCACATGAGGTTTTGGAGAGACATGTGCATACTGCCCATAACAGGTAATAAATTAGTCCACTTATTGGTTTAGTATAGTTCTGGGTATGGCTAATGGAAAGGCCTACCCTGGGTGTGAGTAGGTACCACCCAAAAGTCTTGTAACCTGAAAGGGAAAAAAAAGAAAGGGTGGCTGGCTGCTTTCTGTCTGCCCTGCCATGGACTGTTTCTCTGCTGCCATGCTCCTCCACTGTTCCACAGTGCTTTAGAGCCAACTGAATATAAACTGAAATCTGTACAAAGTGTGATCCAAAATAAACCTTTGCTCCTTTAACTTGTGGATGTCAGGATTTTATCTCAGCAACAACAACAAAAAAAGTAACTAAGACACTGCCTGATTTGTGGTATAGGTTCAATAAACATTAACTGAATGAATACATCAGCATAACTCTAAAAGAAAATAATGGCTCCAGCCAATAATCTGTAAATCAGAACTCTAGTTTCTTTCCTCTCTCCTGAGGGCTGATCAGACCCTCAGCTACCTTTTTCAGGGAAAGACAAGGAATAAAAGAAAGCAACAGAGACAATTTTCAAGATACAAGGGGGTGACCAGGAGGTGACCTGACCTGTAGCAGACAGACTCAAATAAATCTCCACGGTTGGCCCCCTTTTTTAGCCAATGAGAAGTGCAGGGGGAGGAGTAGCAAGAGGTTCATGGAAGAGCAACTATAGAGAATGGATGGATAAGGATTAAATTAATGAAGAACCAGATTTTCTCTACACCCAAATGCTTGTATATTGACTTGACAACTGTCCTCAACAGATACTGTTTTGCCTCAGGAGTGCCAGGTTATTTTCATTCAGTCCATAGCCAGAGGGCATGCAGGCTTCCACATACTTCTCTTTTCTGCAGGCACGATAACACGAACCTGGAGACTGTGAGATTGAGGATGAGGTTAATGTCTGGCTGAGTCAGGAATGCCACACCCATCTCTCCTGAGAAAACTCTGAGGCCTATTAGGGCTGGAATAATCCCCCCCTCGGGTGTGTAGAGATCAGACTTTAGACAGATAAACTGTTCCTCTCAAAAACCTCTAAAGTCCTGACTCCATTCGCCTCAGCCCTAAAGCATACAATCCAAAAGCTAACATGTGGCCAATAACGAGGTGCCAAATATCCTGACTCCACCCTGGTTCCTTACCCTATATAAACCTGTGCATTTCCTGAATAAAGTGAAAGCGTTCCAGAAACCTCCCAGAATTTGTGTGGTGATTCCATGCCTTGTGCTCCCAGTCTGGGACCCTGAACCTTGTTGCAGGAGCAGACTCCAGT